CCGTGGTCGAGATCCCCTTGGCATCGCTCGGACGTGTGCATTTTTCTTTCGGCGAGGACCATCGAGGAGCATCCCTGATCATTTGGCGAAAAAACCACGCACGAAACTGAACAAAAGCACAGGGAATGTACGTCCGAGCGATGCCCAGTCTCCCTCCTGTGGCCTCGCTGGCTCCCCGCCGCTCCCCTTCGCAGCCTCCCACGCTGCTCGTGCGGGACCCCGGTGCGCGCGCCGCTCTCGAGGGGCCTCAGCCTCCGCACCCGCGAGCAATGGCTGTTCTGTCCCCTGGCGTCGCTCGGACGTGTGTATTTTTTTCTCGGCGGGGACCCTTGAGGAACATCCTGGATCATCGAGCGAAAAAAACACGCACGAAACCGAAAAATGCACGGGAAATGGACGTCCGAGCGACGGCAAGGTCCTGTTCTCTCCCCATGCTCCCTTCCGTCGCCGTTGGAAGACTCACGTCGAGCAGCACCCGGGCCTCAGACCAATGACGCAATCTCGCCCAACCCGCGCCGACACCGACACCAGGGACTTCCTTGTCCTCCTCCTCCTCCCCCTCTCCTCCCAATTTTTTACACGTCTCGCAGTGCATGAATCCAGACACCTCAGATCCTAGAGGCCATGGCCTCACCCACCTGGTCTGCTCTAGGCCCGGACGCTGTCCGCAACGGTGGTCGCATCGCATCGCACTGGAGTTAGCGTAGCGCGTGGAGCGGTCTTCTTTCGTCGTGCGGATCGCCGCGCGGGCTGCCTTTCCCTGCCTCCTTGGTTCAGGGTTCGGCGGGAGAGCACTGCATGCGGACGCGTGCGGTTCGACCACGGCCCGCCGCCCCCCTCCATCTCTCAGGAGGGGAAAAGCACACAGACACAATTAATCGTCGATTCCCAGAAAATATTGGAAAATATGGGAAGTGGGGGGGGGGAGACGAAAACCATAAAAATATATGAAAATATGGGGGATCGTTTTCATTTGTGTGTATTTATTGAATCGCTTCGCTCATTCCGCCGGCCCACATTGTATCGCTGGTGCTATATGTTTGTGTGTTCGTGGCGAGCGAGAAGAAGTTGGAGGAGGGGGAGGAGGAGGAGGATGAAGAGGGGAGGATGAGGACGAGGAGGCGGTCTCTCGATGGCTTCTTGGAGTATTTTTGGGGCCAACCCTGGTCGTGGACAAGACGCCTCTTTGGGAGGCTTCGTGGGGTCTCTTGGGAGGCCTCTCGGGGGCCTGTTGGAGGTGTTTTTGGGGCCTCCTGGGGCCTCTTGGGGGCCTCTTGGGGCCTCCTAGGGGCCTCTTCGGGCAAAGATGTCGAAATGCCCGTTCGGGTCCCCCGTCTGTGCCCTCTCTTGGAGCCGTCTTGGGGGTGTATTGGGCCGTCTTGGAGGCCTCTTGGGCAGTCTTGGGGCCATCTTGGGCCGTTTGGGGGCCCTCTTGGAGACCTCTCGGGCCGTCTTGGGGCGGTCTTGGGGCGGTCTTGGGGGCCTCTTGGGGCGTCTTGGAGCGTCGGAAGCTGAAAATGCGAGAACGCCAAAAACCTTCAAAAACCAATGGAAAATCAACGATTTTTGCTTCTTGGGGATCTTTTTGGAGGCCTCTTAGATACTTCTTGGGCCATCTTGGAGGCCTCTTGGGCCGTCTGGAGGCCATCTTGGGCGTCGTGGAGCGATCTTCGGGCGTCTGGGGCCCCTCTTGGACCATGTTTGGGGCCTCTTGGGGCTCTCTTGGGGCGATCTGGAGCCCTCTTGGGCTCCGAAACAGAATTCCGGCATCTCTGACCCCTAGTCTGCCGGGGATCTGCCGGGGATCGCCCGGGGTACTTTTCGCTCGGGGACCCCCAGGGGCCGCCCTGCGCGCGCGAATTAGAAATACTGTTTACCTGTTACCGGAGATTTTAGCACGCCCTGGCCCGTTGGGCCGGCGAATTTGTGTTATGTGGGATCGTTTCATTTGTGTGTATTTATTTTGTGTGTCCTGGGGCCCCTTTAATCTCATGCTGCGGCGTAGCCGTGCTGTCCTGCTTGATGTGCAGCGCTCGAGGGCGGCAGCCACACCCTTCGCCGCGTCGCTGGCGAAGCACCCACACACAAGAGGCCCGCGGGCGGAGCTGCCGGCGAGCGCACCGCGGAAGCTCGGGCGGGCGGCGGCGGAAGGGAAGATTCGATTTCAGTTGGGCCTGTGCCTCTACAGGGGGAATATTCAAAACTATGTGTTGTATAAAGAAAGGTCTGGGGCAGTTTGTTTTGCATGGTTCTGAAGATTGTTGAGTATGGTTTGACTTGTTGTAGCGATTCCTCGAACGCGTGCCTGTAGAGGGGCAGGCCCGCCCTGAGATCACGCCTCCCCGAGGAGAGGTCAACGGCAGCCCCCTCAGGTTTTCAGAGCCGCTTGCAGCTTCTGCAGCGATGGCCGACCAGCGTCGTCGCCTCTCGGCAGGCGCTCGTGCTCGAGTGGCGCGAGCGGCCAACGGAGTGCAGGAGTTGCCTCGTCTTCTGGGCCCGAGGCCCGCGAGGGTGCGGCGAAGAGAGGCGCGGTGCCCGCCGCCCGAGTCGCACCGTGGACGCGCTGACGGAGTACTGGCCAACGGCGAGGCAGGAAGTCCAAGTTGTAGGAAGGCGTGGTTCGTGGCCAAGCCACCTGCAGGAACGCGTGGCTCGTGTTTTCCTACAGCTCGCCGTGTCGTTGTCGTTCGATGCATCCGCACATCTGACATGTAGGAAATCGGATTCCGTGATTTCCTACATGTTGTTTTGCGTGAGTTCGGCGTCTACAACAAAAATAGCAATGTTCCCAATCGCACCGCTAAGCAAGCACGGCGTCAGCGCGGCCTTGGTCACCCCACACTGTCTCCCGGTTTGTGCATGCACACGATCAGCAAGCACGTGCTCATGGCAATAGTCATTTTTTTTGTAAAACTCCCACCCATTCCAGAGGAGAAGCTCTTTCGTTACGCTCAATCCATCAACCAAGGCCATGCTTCCCAGCTTGCGGCCCGCACGAGTCCCGTGTGTCTCTCGTCCATCTGACGTGAGGCCCCGCCTTCTGTTTCCCTCCCTCTGCTAATGAAAGCTGTGCGCGGCCCGCTCAGCTTCGACCAGAAGAGGCTCCCTCTCGACCCGCGAACCAAAAAAAGTGCCCCTTGCCCGCCCCGCGCCGCGCAGATCTGCGTGAGCGTGCCGCAGGGCTTCAAGGCGCGCCGTCGGGAGCGGGCGGCGGCGGGTGCCGCGAGGGCGGTGCCCTCTCTCCGCGCTGGGGGGCGCCTCTCGCCCACATGCCGCGGGCCTCGCCCCCCGTCCTGCGGTCGGAGGTGGATAGACCTCCTACCCTGACACGTCGAGGGGAGGAGGAGGGGGAGGAGGAGGGGGAGGAGGAGGGGGAGGGGGAGGAGGAGGGGGAGGAGGAGGGGGAGGGGGAGGAAGAGGAGGAGGAGGAGGAGGAGGAGAGGAGGAGGAGGAGGAGGAGGAGGAGGAGGAGGAGGAGGGTGAGGAGGGTGAATAGGAGGAGAGGAGGAGGAGGAGGAGGAGGAGGAGGAGGAAAAGGTTGGAGATGGCATCGCGGTCGTTACTTGTGCGGGTCTAGGCCCGTCGGTTTCGGATCTAGGCCGGTGTCCCTCAAGGGAGGTTTACTAGGGGGAGGTTTGTCCACCGCCGATTCGGGGGCGGCAAAGGGGGGGGGACGACTAGGGGGGGGGGATATCGTGGCGGGGGCCATGA